TAATATCCGAACCGAAATGGATATCCGACCCGAAAAATCCGAAACCGAAAATCCGATTAGTATTGGGCCTAGATCGGGTGGCGGGTAGGGTTTGTAAAATCCCAACCCGACCCGCCCGAATATCCGAAATATATTAGTGTGTATTTTGAATATGTTAAATTAATACTTGTGTTCAATTATTTGTGTAACTATTTGTGCAATTTGTGTTAAATTATTTTTGTAATTTGAATGTGTAGTGCACTAGTTTGTACAATTTTTGTCAAAGTGACATTCCAACACTTTAACTATCTAATTATAATGTGTTTTAATATAACCGAAATATTCGAAACATATTAAGTTATGTAGTGTGTACTTTGAATATGTTAAATTAATACTTGTGTTCAATTATTTGTGTAATTATTTATGCAATTTGTATTAAATTATTTGCGTAATTTGAATGTTTAGTGCACTAGTTTGTAGAATTTTTGTCAAAGGGGCATTCAAACACTTTAATTATCTAATTATAATTTTTTTAATACAACCGAAATATCCGAAACCCGATCCGATATCCGATAATATCCGACTTACAAATATCCGAAAAACCCGATTTGAAATATCAAAAGGGTCGGGCCTAGTATTTAACTTAAAAAACCCGAACGGGTTTAGGGTACGCAGACCCGACCCGCCCGAACCCGACCCGTGCTCAGCCCTACTACCTAGTGGTCACTTGCTACCTTTGCATCTTGCATTCTGAATCTTTCCAGGACCTTCTGAATGTATTCTGCCTGTGAAAGAAACAGTCTGCCCGCTGCCTCATCCCTCTCAATTCGCATGCCTAAAATCTGTTTTGCCTCTCCAAGATCCTTCATGGAAAAATGTTCTGACAACCGCTTCTTTAGCTTCTCAATCTCCTTTGAACTAGCTCCTGCAATCAACATATCATCAACATATAACAACAAGATAAGATAACAGTTCTCGGTCTTCTTGTAGTAAGCAATTGTCGGTGTGGCATCTCAAGAAATTTATGTCCCTCATGAAACCATCAAATTTCTTGTACCACTTCTTCGGTGCCTGCTTCAACCCGTATAAGCTCTTCACTAGCTTACATATGAGATTCTCACTGTCTTCCGCCACGTAGCCCTCCGGTTGCATTATGTAAATCTCATCATTCAGATCACCATGAAGGAATGCAGTCTTCACATCCATCTGATGTAACAACATATTCTCTGCAGCAACATAACGTTGCTCGAATCCCTTCACAACCAGCCTAGCTTTGTAGCGTTTGCTACCATCTGCCTCCTTCTTGATGCGGTAGACCCACTTGCAGTGCAAACCCTTCTTTCTTCTTGGTAGCTCAACTAACCTCCCTGTATCATTAGATGTGAGAGATGCCATCTCATCATCCATTGCAAGTTTCCACTTGCCCTTGTCATCAACCCGAACTTCCTCTGCATAGGACTCCGGTTCACCACCATCAGTAACCAACAAATAGAAATTAGAAGGCGAATACCTATTTGGTGCTCTCCGGTTTCTGACAGGATGCTGCCTTGGTGGGGTTGATGGATCTTCATCACTGCTCAACTCTTCATTCTGATCCTGCTTGCTCCATCCCGAATTAGAGGTATATAACTCAATGATCTTCGGATTATCTTGCTCAGAATCGGAAACATTCAATATGTCCTTGTACATAACCGGATCGTTGAAAACTACATCTAGGCTATGAATAATCTTCCTATTATGATCATCCCAGAATCTGTATCCATAGTCATCACCACCATAACCAACGAACGTACACTTGACAGATTTGGCATCTAGCTTGATTCAGTCAACAGAACTTATATGAACATAAGCAACACAACCAAATATGCGGAGATAGGGTAGATTAACTTCCTTACCCGTCCACCTTTCTTCAGGTATGCCATTCTCCAATGAGATCGTAGGACTTCTGTTGATGAGAAAATCGCGATGTTCACTGCATCCGCCCAAAACATCTTCGGTAAGCCACTCTTCAACCTCATGCATCTAGTCCGCTCATTCAGTGTTCTGTTCATGCGTTCAGCAACACCATTATGCTGCGTTCAGCACAAAACTTCTTGAACTCAAGCAGTTCATACTCACCTTCATTGTCAGATCGAAGGCACTTTAACTTCAGACCTGTCTCCGTCTCAACAAGAGCTTTCCACTTCCTGAAAGCATCAAAGGCATCAGATTTATTTTTGAGAAAATAAACTCACGCCTTTCTTGTGGCATCGTCAATAAAGGTCATGTAGTAGGCGGATCCTCCCAAGGATGTAACTTCTGCGGGTCCTCAAAGGTCGGTGTACCTGTGAACTAGTTCCAGCTTCTCCGGTTTGATAGCTCATCTTCCCTTCGAGAAACTGACACGTTTCTGTTTCCCGAATATGCAGTCCTCGCATAAGCCAACCTCAACAGTCTTCAGGCCGGGCAGTTTGCCCTTCGAGCACAACTCCTTCATCCCCTTTTCGCTCATATGACAAAGACAACAATGCCATAATTTCACATCGTTTGTTGCAGCGGCAGCAACATTGATGCAGTCCTTCAAGTTCGTTGTCATGTACAACGTACCCTCCTTCTTCCCTTTAGCAATCCGCAAGGCTCCTTTGGTGATCTTCTAGTTTCTGCTGCCGAATGTAACTGCATAGCCTTCCTCATCCAACTGCCCAACTCAAAGTAGACTTTTTCTCAATCCAGGAATATGTCGGACACCATTCAGTTTTAGCATGTATTCGTTTGGAGTCTTCACGTTGACTATACCCTTCCCGGCAATTTTAAGAGGCTCATCATCAGCAATATACACCTCTCCAAAATTGCCAGGAGTATACTGTTCCATCACTTCAGCATTACCGCATGAATGGAACGAAGTTCCAGAATCCAGAACTCATGACTCCAACGGACTGCTCACGCTCAGGATTAGGAGATCATCGTCATATGATTCTGCCGCTGCATTGGCAGATGTCTTCTCCTTCTGATCCTTGATCTGCTCCTTGCACTGCCTCTTGAAGTGTCCATACTCCTTACAATTCCAACACTTGATCTGACTTTTGTCCTTCTTACCCTTGCTGTTTGATTTGAATTTGGATCTTGATTTATCTCGATTTGACTTTGACTTCGACTTCGTTCTGCCCCGGTTCTCTGTACTCAATGCCGATCTAGAAGCCAAACCTGATTCCTTCTTGCGAATTTCTTTGCTGATCACCAGATTTTGACTTCATCGAATTTCAGTTTCTTCTTCCCTGCCGAAGCGCTGACTGCAGTCACCGTTCCGCTCCAGCTTTCCGGGAAAGAAGAGAGCAGAATTAGGGCATGAATTTCGTCGTCGAATTTTATCTCAACCGTGCTCAACTCTCTGGTGATCACATTGAACTCGTTCAGATGATCCACCACTCTCGTGCTTTCTGACATCTTTAGATTAAAAAGACGCCTCATCAGATGAATTTTGTTCACATCGGAAGGTTTTTCGTACAAATCCGATAAAATCTGCAACATCTCCTTCGTCATTTTCGCTTTGATGGTAGTAGGGCGATGTTTCTGGACAGCGATAATCGAACCACTCTCATCGCTTTTTTGTCCAGCAACTTCCAATAGCTCTCTTTCATGTTTTCCGGCTAATCATCCCGAGGTTGATACAGATCTTTACCGTACAGGTAATCTTCGATCTGCAACTTCCAAAATCCGTAATCCGTTTCGTCAAACTGCATCACCGGTGTCTTCAAATTGTCTGTCATCGTGAGATCTCCCTTCAAACCTAGGGCTCTGATACCAATTGTTAGGAATTAAACTCACGCTCACAATGAATAATAAGGAGAACACGCGAAAATTTGGTTACCCAGTTCGCCACGAATAACTACGTCAGGGGTGCTACCAAGCCAGGAATATTATTGCTATTTTCGGATCCACACACATGATTACAAGGGAGAGAGCTTGTATTTATAGAGAAGTAAATCTTAACCCCAAGGCAACTAGGATGCGTTTCCAAAAATAAATTAAGAAACGTGTTTCCAAAAATAAATTAAGAAAAGCTTGGTTATACAGTCTCTAACACCTTACATAATATAGATTTGATATGACGTTTGGGATAGAAAAGCTAATTGATACGGCATGTTTTTGCATTCGGCCGACAAATTACCGCAGAGCTCTGCAATTATTTCAAACTGTACCATGATCTGCCTGGCCCGATTATGCAGCTTTCAGAAATCTTTTCAGCTTTTTTGGATTCACCTTGACCCGTTTTTTACCTAAAACTTTGGGCGGGAATTTGCTAGTGTTTCTACTTAAATATAGATAGATTTGTATATAGATAGATTTTATTTTCTACTTTTTCATTTACCATATACACTGTATATTACATTTACTATTTTCTACTTAAATACCGTCAAAAACCAAATAAGACACATAAAAAAGAGCAAAGGTAATATGGAATGTTCTTAGCTAAAATATCGAATTATATATTCTCAAACCTCAAATATATCTTCTAAAAGAGATTCGTATATGGGTTTTCAAAACTAACCAAAAATGTTAGAGTCGTACTTATCTGGATCATTTGAAATCTTAATAATGTATAATACTCCGTAGGAGATCGACACGTAATCAAGTGTCTAATTTGGTATGCATTAAAACTTAATGGCAAAAATGATATTCAGATATTATCACAATGTCCAATTTGGTCGGCATTATGAAATTCACTTATAAAGTTATAATCGTAGTGACCAATTTGATTTGCATTAAACTTAATGGATAATATGAGATTTGCGGGTAATCATAGTCTCTCATTCATTCCTTCTCTTTTATAGTATCCTATACATTGTGATGAGTGATGACTTGGAATTTTGGGGACACCCTAAAGGATCCACCAAAATTTGGGGCACATCTTTCCTTAAATGGTGTATATCTATCGATGAAACTGCGATTCAGTTTCTGCACATGTGTTTTTGTAATTCCAACCACATGCATCAACGTTGTCCTTATGTTTTTTATTGTTCTTTTTTCCCTAGATTTTTTTTATTCCAAACCATATCATCATATGTTTCATAACATTCATTTCTTTGTTTGACAGGTGAAAGAATCTGGTGACTGAAAGGAAGAAGCAATATAATGTCGTACAAGGTGGATCATGAATATGATTACTTAATCAAGATTGTATTGATTGGTGATTCCGGCGTCGGGAAATCCAATATTCTATCCAGATTTACCCGAAATGAATTCTGTCTCGAATCGAAATCCACCATTGGTGTTGAGTTTGCTACAAGAACCCTCCAGGTAGGTTTGATAAAATTTCAAACACCTACCTTCTAACCTCTATAATCTCTTTTGAAGCTTGTTGTGATTATGGTATCAAAGTCTACCCGATCAGCCAATCCATTAGGTCCATAAACTTACATGAACCAGATAGATATGTCTCAACATAATGGTTCAAATTTGTATGATCCAGACGGGAGGTATCCATCAGGTGGCTGCCCATATATGCACAAGTTCTATTCCAAGTTTTAATTCATTATAAAAAATGTGATGAAATAAAGTTCTATTCCAAGTTTTAATTCAATATTTTTGACTCCATCTTAGGACTTGGTAGAAACTAACATTATCCATAATTGTAACAATGGTGCAGGTGGAGGGAAAGACAGTGAAAGCACAAATATGGGACACAGCGGGTCAAGAGAGATATAGAGCCATAACAAGTGCTTACTATAGAGGAGCGGTAGGGGCATTGTTGGTTTACGATATAACAAAGAAGCAAACCTTTGACAATGTTGAACGGTGGCTCCGTGAGCTCCGAGATCACGCCGACTCCAACATTGTCATCATGTTGGCGGGGAACAAGACCGACCTGAATCACCTCAGGGCTGTGCCAGAACAGGAGGCAAGACTCTTGGCAGAGAAAGAAGGGTTGTCGTTCCTCGAGACCTCGGCATTGGAAGCACTGAATGTGGAGAAAGCATTTCAGACAATTTTGTTGGATATATATCAGATCATTAGCAGGAAAGCATTGGCTGCTCAAGAGGCTGGTTCGGTTCCTGGTCAAGGCACCGCCATTAATGTTGGGGACTACAATGCCAATACCAACAACAAAAGACCTTGTTGTTCTGGTTAAATGATACATGTATAACATACTAGTTTCATCTCGAGGTGGGGCAATATCTATGGACTATGGTAAGACCAGTTCAGCCTATGTTACGTGCAAGGATAGACCAGCATGGTCATACGAGCAATTAGACCTCACACACCGCAAACAGTCACCATACGGATAGCATATACCAGATCGTCATACTGCACTAGCCAAGTAGCCAACACATTCCATATTGTCAAACAATTTGTAGAATATCACATGAATTCTACTTCATATATGTTAGATTTTTAGGCAAGGCATTCCTGAGTCTTGACTATATTTACACTCCTTCCAATAGAATTTAATTGTAAATATTTTTTTATTTGTTTGAGCATTATAATTTGGGACTTCATCCTCATATGACTTTATATTTCCAGTTCAATCACTTCTAATGAATGTTTGTATTTTTATATTTTGTCTCATGAGGGGTGATGTTTTATTATAATATGCACCATGTAAGAAAACCGCTCACTAGAGCAGACCCCAATGTGAAACTAATTTCCTCATTTCAGCTTAAAATATTCAACTGAAGTTTCACTATAAAAGAGTAAAAGACATCAATGTTTACTATATGAAATGACATAACAAAGTTATAGAAAAGGATAAAGCAAAAATGACATAAAGAAAGGTTGATGCGGGATGCATTTGTTTTTTACTCGCACAGAATTGCTCAACACATAAAGTAGACATTAATTAATTAATAAATTATAATATGGGAGAACATATATGATGTCTCATTTTCCTTTGTATTGTTCTACAGCAGTATCTAACGTGTGAGAGACAGGCACTGAATGATTCAGCTCTGGAAGGTCTAAATGGGGAGAGCGCCCGTCATATTGATATGGGCCAAAGTGGACCTCAAACCGTATTTATTCACGGCTGCTTGAACAGCTCTGTAACTATCTCCATACGCTGGAGTAGCGTCATGCAATATCTGATGCTTAAAAAACTCCCCTAACTTATTTTCCATAGCAGATTTTCTACCAATCTTCGAGGATGAACCAGTTGACGTTGATGGTATGTTTCTGTGTCCAGGAGTCACCTCTGACTCGAGCCACATGTAAGCAAGCACTTGGCAAATTCCTTCTTCTAGTTCCAAGTCCATATTGCGATAACCTACATATTTCAAAGAAATCTTTTCAAGTGTTCATACAAAAATGGAAGTTCATTAGGTTCAATTGCAAAACTTTTAGGACTTCGTTCGATTCAGGGATTATGAAGGGGAGATCAACGAACAAAGAACAGATCTTTATCTAGGATTGTCCAACTAATTGACCCTACTAACACGATAGCAATTTTGGCGTTTTCTACTGAACTACAAACATGTGTTCATTAGCAATACATAGGATTTGAGTTTCAAGTTGAGGTTTACCATTAAGCCGTAACCATGCATGCATTAATTCATGTGCAAGAATCGTGCCAGTCAGTAGTCTGCATCAAGGACATACATTAATATTCCATGTATATTCCATCATACTATGCTGAATTTACAGTGGGACATGAAAGAAATCAACATTAAGATTTGGCATTATGCCTTCTTTTGCATGGAATTATAATGAATAATAATAAGATGGGAGGTTAATTTTTCATGGCAACAATATGCATGAATGTGGGGGTAAATTTTACCTTGGTAGACCATATAAAATCAAGATAGCTGTAACTTCACATCTTCGAGTTAGTCTGAGAGGTTGTGTTCTCATTCCTACAAAAACACGGCCCCCCATTCTCGGCTTCCTTTGTATCTGTGGAGATCACTCGATGAAATGTATTAACATGTTTTAAAATTTTCAAAAAAAGTGTTGACAAAAAGTGTTAACATACGCTGCTAACTGTTTGCTCCTCAGACAGGCATAGGCCTCTTGTTTCAGACATGTGGAGGGAGCCCTATAATAAGATCTTCAAATGTCAGAAACAGTCTCAAGATTAAGGCTCCATTTGGAACTCTAAAATACTAAGAAAATAGGAATGAAAACATAGAGGAAAACTGGAAGGAAAGATATTTTTTGAGAAATAATAAGTTGTTAAAATTGGATTTATCAATTTTAGATACTTGTCCAAGATAAGCGCCATAAGAAACTATGTTACACAAAAGTAATTACAAGTATCTACTGAAGAAAAGAGAAACTGGACAAATATCTTCAATTTAGCCAAAAATGAAGATTGAAGGTTAAATGTGAAGAAAGAAGAGTCAAATCCGGTACGTCTTGGTCAAATACGGAGGCCAAAAGATGATAAAAAGGTAAGTATTTATGTGACCATCAAAACAGGCATCGGACCAACCCAAACTGGTGCCCAAATTACTATTCTAGGAACCCCCGGAGAAACTGAACCAGTCCGGCACAATACACACCTCCAAACCGGTGCTGAGGTGCTAAAAATGTCATATTTTAGGGTCGGGAAGTGGAACGTTGCACCGGGTAGGCCTAACCCAATGTAAGGTTGTCAAAATTAGCAAAAAGAAGCAAGATGTGCAGAAGAGATTTTGATGAGAATGAGAGTTTTTAAGATAGCTCGACATTCTCATCCCATGCTTCTGGAAGATTATGAATAAACTAAAAGATATCAATCTTTAGCATATTTAAACCTCCAAAATCATCATATATCCACCATTCAATTTTCGTCATAATTTATACTTTTGTCCATTAGTATCATGTTATATTTGTCATTATTTCATAAAAATTCCTTGGCAATTCTTTTTATTTCCCTTTCACTTCCAGTGTTCCAAACATAAAGTAAGTGGCCAGAGAATTAAGAAGGCTAGCAATCATTCTTACATTTCTCTCGCCTACGATAGCTTCATTGAGAGCTTGTCTTTCAACAAGGATCATAGGAATTTGTTGATCTATTTTCATGTACAAACCCTCATAAAAGTGCCTGATGGAATGGTAAAGCGGTTGACAATCCCCAGTGTCCATTATCGCGGACTCCAAGCATTCACAGCAAATGCTCCTACCGTCTCCAAGGGATACATATCTTGCTTTCCATGACTTCAACCAAAAGTGTAAAATCGACATAAACACCAATCATATTACTAACACTTTACAGTTTCACAAAGAACTTATTCACATATTACTAACCACATACTTGTAGTAAATAAAGAAAATCCTTTAAATAGCACGAAAACATAAAAAAAAAATCATTATTATTTTCTTCCTAAAGTGGGACTCATTCAGAAAGTTTTATACTTTTAATAGAATCAAATGTCCTCTTTTAGAAATAAAACATAGTTAATGCACTTTGTCTAAGTTGTAGTCTACTTGAAATCTTTAGTAAATTTTAAGAACTTTGTTTTCTTACCTCGAGTCGCTCACAGCTGCAGCAACGTGCAGTGCTATCATGCTCATGTGAAGGGCAATATTTCGTACCCCAAAAGGGGTGGGATTTATACTCAATCAATCCAGATCTGTCAGCCGGGATCTGAAAATGCCCTCATGGATTTAGAAAAGGAAATAACAATAATGGGAGACTTGTGCCCTGATTGACTTTGATTCACTGAATAAAATTCAGTTGAAATGCACATTAATAGTACTACTCCTACGCAAAATGGTTCTTACAAATTGATGGCAGACTTCACATCTGGGATGACTTAGTTCTTTGAAGCAATTCATATGGTACGCTTTATTCCCTGAAAGTGAATACTTGAACCAACAAAGAAAACCCATAAGAGCTACATTGGGATTTGGAGTTCTATCCTAAATTCCTAATAGTTCTTTCATATGTTCTTTGTTTTATAGATATATTTTTATTTAATCACTCACTTGAACTTAATAATATGCTATGGCTTAGAGTGTCATCCTAAAAACAGTAAAACATACCTCATTGCCTTTGATAGGGGAATTGCACGCATGACAACGGAAACACTCTGGATGGTACAAACTCCCCATGCATCCCAAATAGTTTCTATAGCCAATGTCTCGGTAACAACCATTGCATATCCTGACATTACAATAAGAATCATCTGTAGGTATGGTTTTCAGTTTTTATGGCAAACCAAAATTGAAAATCATTGACTATTGTCATAATCAGACTGAATCGCTAGTTTGAACTTAACAAAATCTGATGCCATATTAAAGCTTAGAGTTGTTCAATGTGAGATGGTTCCCCCTTAATGGTGAACAAGTAAAGGTTACCTTTTGGGTCTTACACAGTAATCCTTTGGTGCCCATGCAAGATAGAAAGGAGGCGTTGGGAGGGATACAGTGACACCACCAGCACCACTACCACCACGAAAATGTAGTGGTACATCTTCATCATAGCCTTCCCTCCACTTGTTGCCTAACAATAGAGGAAAACCATGGCACTTCATTAAGAAAACAAAAATGACATAGCATGCCATGATAGCAATCGATTAACTGCAGACACAAGGGAATTATATTACCAGTAGGCTGCTTCAAGCCTTCTGCCATAGAGAGTGCAATTGCACGCTCTAATTCATCTTTTTCCCTGGCTGTGGGGTGGACATCCTAGAAAGGGATATGCAAATAATAATAATCATTTATATTTTACAGAATTAACATTAATATTGTGCCCAAGTCCAGCAACAACTAAGCTACACGCCTACACTTACACATGCTATAAGCTTTTCAAATAAGTTCAAAAAACTCGAGCTTATTAAAACAATTCCATTAAGTAGCTTTTTAAATAAGATAACGAGTCTTTTGGATTTTTGTAACAGTTTGATTTTACCTCATTATCGTCTTGGAATAATTTCGGATACATCCTTACATGTCATTCTATATTCGGGAAAAAATATATATCCTTTCATACCATTCTCTCCCAATTGAAACAAAAAGGGGGCATAAGCTACAAATTTCGAAAATGAAAACATTAATTAATAATATAAAAACGAAATAATGAAATATATGTCTTAAAATAGAGATGGTGATCAGATTCTTAGTGGTTATTATCATATTCAGTTTTACATTGTACTATTGTAGTGACCATTAGGCTACACATATTTTAACCCAAGTCAATTTTTGTCTAT